ATAATCCACATGAAAAGAAATTGGATTCAAGAACAACCAGTAGTTTCTTATTGGTTATCCAGAAAAGGCTAAAGGGTATAGATTTTATCGTCCTAGCCATAGTACAAGAATTGTTGATACTGGAAATGCTAGGTTCATAGAAAATGATGAAGTTAGTGGGAGTTCAAAACCACGAAAAGTGGAGATTAAAGAAGTTAGGGTAAAAGTTCCTTTACCCTCAATTTCTCTTTAAACTACTGTTCCTCCTATTGTTGAACAGTTAAACAATAGACAAGAACAACAAATGAATGATCAACCAACCTATAATGAAAATAATGTTAATGAACCTACAATAGATGAACCACAAAAAATAGTATTAAAGAGGTCTCAAAGGCCAAAAAGGTTTGCTATTTCTGAGGACTACGTGGTATATCTACAAGAGTCAAAATTTGACTTAGAAATTGATGCAGATCTAGTTTCATTTTCATAAGCCATTGAAAGTGATAATTCTACTAAATTGATAGATGCCATGAAAGATCAGTTAAAGTCTACGGAGCAGAATAGTGTTTGGGACCTTATTGAATTGTCTAAAGGTTGTAAAAGAGTCAGATGTAAATGGGTTTTTAAGAACAAACATGACTCAAATGGTAATATCAAACGACATAAGGCCAGACTTGTTGCCAAAAGTTTTACACAGAAAGATGATATTAACTATAAGGAAACCTTTTCATTGGTTTCTATGAAAGACTCTTTTAGAATTATATGGCTTTAGTAGCTCATTATGATTTAGAGTTGCACCAAATGGATGTAAAAACTACCTTTCTGAATGGGAATTTAGAAGAAGAGATTTACATGGATCAACCTGAGGGTTTTTCCATTGAGGAAAAAGAAACCATGGTGTGTAACCTTAAAAAGTCAATATACAAACTTAAACAAGCTTCCTGCCAATGGTATCTTAAGTTTAATGATACTATCACTTCTTGTGGATTTAAGGAAAACGCTGTTGATCGGTGTATATATCTGAAAGTCAATGGGAGTAAGTTTATAATTTTGGTTCTGTATGTTGATGACATCTTACTGGCTACTAATAATCTTGGCTTATTACATGAGACCAAGAAATTTCTTTCTAAGAACTTTGAAATGAAAGATATGAGAGAGGCATCTTATGTGATTAGAATATAAATATTTTGAGATAGATCACAAGGACTGTTAGGGTTGTCTTAGAAAGCATACATTAATTGTTAATATATGCCCTAGAAACCATTCGTGTTGTGGTTTTAGAGCATTTTGTCTTGTATCTATATATCATAAATAATAGAAGAAATAGTTCTTCAATTCACATATATAAATTGCTTCCTTTATTTAGTTATGCATTTAAAATAAAGTACGTAAATGAATAGTCCAGATGATTCATTTAATCGGTAAATGAATTATCGAAAAGTGTTTCCTACGGAAGCAATATAATTTGGGAAACTATATTGCATAGTAGGCATACTAGATGCTTCCGAAAGATATCATGAGTTGATATAAGTACGGATGACGATGATAGTCATGTCACTGGGGCATTAGTATGGATTAGCGGTTGGTGAACTGTTTTTCGAACGTGACCGAATAACGACAAATCACTTGAAAAAACATGTAGTCAATGATTTATTGTTTGGTTATATCAGTGCACGATGTAGTCCTTTGACCTGAGACATTGTAGTCGGATCCGATACGGATGCATATGGTTCATACAGTGTATAAGTATGAGACTAATCATGTTTCGTATAATAAAGCCTATTTAGTCATGTGTTGTTCATATGCAGAAACGAACGATGGTCAAGAGGAGATCCATTGACTCGGAAATATAGGATCAAGGGTATTGTTGACTCCATCCGGATTCGAGTTCCTGGATGAACGTTGATAAATGTCAGAAATCAGAATCTTTGGCCAGAGCATATTATTAGTCATACCAAAGCAAGTTCATGATGACGAGTTCCGGATATATTGATCGACGATTCGGTAGAAAATCGAGTTTAGGTTTTTGACGTTCCATGAATCCATACTCGATCTAAAATGGGTTCGATGAAGTATTTCTTCATCGTGGTTTAGGGACTATGACACATTGCTAGATGTTTACAATAGTCGTTGGACCTCCAGACAAGTTTTCAAATTTATCCAGAACCGACTCACGGCTAATCCACGATGGACTTACTTGGTCACACCAATAGCCTTGAGAAGTTAGGGAAGGATAAGAGAGAGAAATGATTATCCAAAAAGGGCTAGCACATTCTGAGGGTAATGACGGGATTTCTATAGTAATAGTTTACATAGAAAATTGTTTGTGCCATTTTAAGGGTTAAAATGGTCAAGTAATAATTAATTATATTTAATTATTATATCTTAAAGTGTTAAGATCAATGAGATAAGCGAAAATAACCTTTCAATAGTTAAAGGGGAAAAGAGTAAATTTATGGGTTGTTAATGTAAACTAGTTTAGTTTACATAGGCCCTTGAATAATATTGATTATTCAAAGGGTAAAATAATAAATTCATGGGCACCTTTTAAAATAAGATTTTATTGGGGCATAGAAATGAAAAACAAATAATTATAAAATTGCTCAAGCATATATAAATGCAAATTGGTTGCATTTTAGTTCATTATTCACTTTGTTCACTCAAAAGAAAACTAAAATCTCTCTCTCTAAGGCAAGGCCACACTCTTACTCTCTCAAGGTGGTGTTAAAGTGTGGAGGACTCATCTCTATGAGTCTTGTCTTCATCAACCCGAAACAAAGGAGTAGGTATAATGCTTTTTCCAAGTTTTGTTTGAAAACCTTTTTTTTGAATCCAACCTTTCATGCTTTCAATCTTCATTTCCACCACTCTTCATGCATGTTGTTCTTACATTAATAAAGTTCTAGAAAGATTCAGAATGGAAAAGTGCTAATCAAGTGTTGTTCCAATTCAGAAAGGATATAAATTTAGCCTTATGCAATGTCCAGGAAATGAATTGGAGCACAAACAAATGGAAGGGATTCCATATGCATCAGTAGTTGGAAGCTTAATGTATGCACAAACTTGTACTAGGCCAGACATCAGTTTTGCTGTTGGAATGCTCGACCGATATAGGAGTAATCCAAGGATGGATCACTGGAAGGCTACAAAGAAAGTTATAATGCAAGGAACAAAAGATCATATGCTTACTTATAGGAGATTTGATCATCTCGAGATGATTGGATATTCATATTTAGATTTTGCTGGGTGTGTTGATACAAGAAAATCCACATTTGGCTATTTGTTCCTTTTAGTTGGAGGAGCTATATCATGGAAGAGTGCGAAACAGTCTATTATTGTTGCATCTATTATGGAAGCTGAGTTTGTGACTTGCTTTGAGGCCACAATTCAAGGGAATTGGTTGTGGAACTTTATTTTAGGACTTGGAGTAGTTGATAGTATTGCTAGGCTGCTGAAAATTTAGATAGTTTTGCAACAGTCTTCTTCTCCCAAAACGACAAGTATTCCAAGGGTGCTAAACATTTGGAATTGAAACACCTTCTTGTTAAAGAAGAAGTTCAGAAACAAAAGGTGTCGATTGAACATATTAGCATATATCTCATGATTGCGGATCCGTTGACAAAGGGATTGATCCTAAGATATTTATTGGACATGTCGATAGGATGGGCATTATTAAGAAATTAACGTTGACAAAGGGATTGACTCCTAAGATATTTATTGGACATGTCGATAGGATGGGCATTATTAAGAAATTTTAATACTTTATAAGATTATGATGTAATTGACATTTGGAGCTTAATTACGTATTGTTTATGATATTTATGGATATCCTGTTCATATTATTATTTGTATATAAATAAATTACTTCAAATGATTTGACAGGGTTTGGCCTCTACTAGAGACATTATAGTGGACCATGACTCATATTATTCTATACTTAATAATGACATTATGTTCTGACCAATATTTGAGGTATTACAGTTATATGTTATGCGCATTATGTTTTATTTATTAAACCATGAAGATTTATTCTGTCACATGGGCCGAGAATGTAAGATAAAATTAATTGTGGCCCATTGGTATATGTCATTAAATTATATGTGACCCATTAAAATATAAATAATATTATTACGGTTTAATAATAAATTGAAGATTATCTAATTATCTATTTAAAAGTTACAGACAGTGATGAAGCGTGTATTTGAGGGAAGTTTATTTCCTAAAAACTTGGTCCTCTCTCTGCCTAATAAAGAAAGCCAGAATGTACTTTCTCCATCACTTTTAGCAAAACAAATTCTAGAAAATTGAAGAGAGGAAATGAGAGAAAAACCAATATTCCTAATCACAGAAATCATTATCAACGAGTATTATGACTCAAGGTATATTTTTTTTAATTAATAGTTTTTTATTGATTTTATAACATGTAAAATTCATGAAATTCAAAGATCCTGTAATTTAATGTTTCATGTAAATTTATTTACAAAAAGAAGAAAATGAGAAACATCGGCACAAGATTTTACAACATTGCATATTTTTGAAATTTTTATATATTAGGTTTTTTTACCTCATGCTGACATCATTATGATGTCATCAATGGGTCGAACAGGTTTAACCGCTTGACCCGGGACCTAGCCCTTTGGCCAGGTTACACCCTGAGTTGGTTATTAAAACATTGATCATAAACACTTGATCTGACTTTATTAGGTTCACAAGTTTTTATAACATAGTCAAGACGTTATGGGGGACAAATATGATATAATTACATCAACTACGACCCATCATCCATTAACCAAGTCAAAGTCTTTATATGGGGACAAAAATTTCCTAATAATTCCCCATGTAGAATTTATAGTAACTAGTCTTAAATGATCTGGTCTACATAAAGAACATGACTTTCCATTTTATCATTTAAAGAATTTAATTACTAGAAATAGCTTATAAAAAAAATTAGTAATTGCCACATTATTTAAAGTCATATATATATAACAGAAGAACTAATAGATAACAAGCATTGCAAATGAGGTCCAAGATTATCATGGTTTTTGTTTTCTTTATTTTCCTCTCTCTAAAATTGTGCCCTGCAATAGGGCAAACTAATTGGATCAGGGCTGGTTATTACTATAATGCACGATATGCGTTCCCCATTTCGAACATAAGTTCTGCTCTTTTCACTCACCTTATTTGTGCTTATGCTGGTGTTAATTATACCTCCTACGAAGTTTCGGTATCACCAGCTGATGAAGAACGCTTCTCCTCCTTCACAAATATTGTGAAACAAAAGAATCCATCAGTCACTACACTACTATCTGTTGGGGGCAGCGATGTAAATTATTCAACCTATTCTTCAATGGTAAGCAATTCTTCTTACCGAAAATCATTCATCCATTCCTCAATAAAAATAGCCCGATTTTACGGTTTTCAAGGCCTAGACTTTGCTTGGCCACATCCAGACACAACATCTGATATGTTCGGTATGGGAGTTCTCTTTCAAGAGTGGAAAGCTGCTATTAGTTTAGAGGCAACAAACTTTAACCACTCGCAACTGATCTTGACAGCTAGGGTTACATATTCACCCTCGCTGTCTTCAGCAAGTTACCCTATAGAGATGATGCAACATTTGAATTGGGTTCATGTTCTTCCCTATGGTAGCTCCTATCCTCCCTCAGAAAACCTTACTGGTGCTCATGCAGCTCTATATAGCCAAGGGAATATCCTTAATATGGATCACGGTGTAAGAGAGTGGATCGGTAAAGGATTATCAGCTAATAAATTGGTTTTGATTTTGCCTTTCTATGGCTCTGCATGGATGCTCCAGAATCCTATGGTGAATGGAATTGGTGCACCAGCAAAACAATTTGCCCTTAATACTAATGGTGGTGGTGGTGGAACCGCATCATATAAAGAAATCAAGAATTACATTGAGGACTATGGTCCTGATGTTCCTGTCGGGTACAACTCAACCTATGTGGTGAATTACTGGACAAAGGGATCAATTTGGATTGGATTTGATGACGTTGAGGCTGTTAGAGCTAAGATTTCTTATGCCAAGAAGAAAAAGCTACTTGGCTACTCTGTGTGGCAAGTCTCCTATGATTATAATTGGGTGCTTTCTAAAACTGCAGGTAATTAGTTAAACAAAGTACTCTATGCAATCAATACTTTCTCCCGGCTGTAGTAATTAACATATTGATTCCTTTTTCCAGCTGGAGTGGCAATAAATGATTCTTCAGTTCAGGAGGATCATAAAAGTGGACAAAATAATAAGAGCCCTGTTTTAGTAATCCTTTTGTCTACAGCAGCTGCTGTTTCTCTTCTCTTCGGAATATTTGTAATATTTTACTGCTGGAGGAGAAATTTCAAATTAAGATGTAAGTTTCTAATAATTTATAGAGTACTGTTTCAATTGAAACTGATCAAATTAGCAGTTTATTTATTTATTTTTTCTCTTGGTTGACAGGGACGGTGCACTCCACTACAGAATCCAATGACAAGGCAAACAAAGCAGCATCGGCTGGAGATTTTAATAGCAATGTTCCTAATCTGATGGAATATACATTGGGTGATATAGAGGCAGCAACCAATGGGTTTTCAATTGAAAATAAGCTTGGAGAGGGTGGATATGGCTCTGTTTACAAGGTACCTCTGGTTACGCTCTTCATCATTAATTTGAGAACAATTTTGTGGTGCTTAACTTATTTTAGTCTTCAAGTTAATATATTTTAGCTTTTATCTATTGACAGTTATCAACCAACTAGAGTGTTTTTTGCTAGGGAATACTTCCGGATGGACAGGTAATAGCAGTAAAGAAACTTTCAAAAACATTCACTCAAGGATTTGAGGAATTCAAGAATGAGGTTATGCTCACTGCCAAACTCCAACATGTAAATCTTGTTCGAGTTTTGGGGTTTTGTATTGATGGAGAAGAACAGATAATCATCTACGAATACGTGCAAAACAAAAGCTTAGACTCTTACCTGTTCGGTCAGGATTTTATTTTTAGTTTTTGTACACTAACTTGCAATTTTTTTTTTTCTTTTGTACTAACCTATAGCCACTGATACATTATTGATGATTAAGTTATGATGAAATTTGGTGCAGACCCCATTAGACAATTAGTTTTGGATTGGAAAAAGCGTGTATACATCATTGAAGGAGTTATTCAAGGGCTTTTATATCTCCAAGAATACTCGAGATTGACTCTTGTTCATCTATATTTAAAAGTTAACAATGTCTTGTTAGATGGAGAAATGAAACCCAAAATATCAGATTTTGGAATGCCTAGAATATTTGTGAAAGATGATCTTGAAGTAAACACAAATCGTGTTGCTGGAACACAGTAAGTGTTTTACTATTAATGCTATATAATTGTCAAAAATTTGCTTGTTTTTTATATCCTAAGTCAGCTACTCACAGTTTGTAATAATCCAATACAGTGGTTACTCAACTAAATCCGATGTTTATAGTTTTGGGATTCTACTTCTGCAAATCATCAGTGGCAAAAGGATTTCCCTTCTATATGGTCCGAACGAAAGGCTGAGTCTTCCTCACTATGTAAGTTTCTTTAATAATTCATTTGAAGGATATGTGGATCAAGATATTAGCATTAGAAAAAGTTAAATAATTCCAAATAATTTGGTTAATTTCAGGCATATGAGTTGTGGAATGATGGTAAAGGCATGGAGTTTATGGATGAATCACTGGACGATACATATTCGTCCTATAAATTAATGAGATGCTTGCAAATCGCTCTGTTATGTGTTCAGAAAAATAAAGTTGATCGGCCGTCTATGTTGGAAGTTTTAACAATACTGAAAAATGAAAAAACAGACATCATGATTCCAAAGAAGCCTGCTTTCTTGAAACAAAATGAACAAGATAAATCTATAATGCAGTTGGAAGATTATTCAGGGTGCACTCTCTCAATTAATGATGTAACAATTTCAGATCTGGTACCCAGATAAAATTTATTATGTACCTTTTGAGATTGGTAATGTGTGTATCCTGGACTTCTGCTAAGCTAGATAGGTTCAATTCCTTAGCTGCATTGTGGGTTTTATTTGGTGTAGTTTTGTATTACCCCGTTTATCAATTAATGTTCAAGCAACGTACGTTTAATAAAATCACTTGAAAGATCATATTTCCTCTAAATTGTCAAATAACATTACCAAAAGTCAGTGAAACAGAAAGCACATTACTTGGGAAAATGTTTAAAAGCAGAGCTTCAATGGAGGGAAAGCTCATTCCATTAAATATGAACTTGTTAATCCCTACACCAGGGAAAGAATCTCTTTATCTGTCTGCAACTTATATATCATCCTTAATTCCTTAGGGTTCAACTTCAGCAGGGTTCCAATATTCAGTAGAACATTAAGATCGTTTACTTGACCAAAGCATTCAATGGCAGTGGCAAGGTAACTAAACTAATCTTCTCTTTTTATTTAAGGCCCCAACATTATAGCCGGAAATTGGGTGGTTTTATTTATTTGCAAACTGCATTTACTTCATTAATTCTATGCTGTCAATTCTAATTTGACGCGTATGGACCACGACATCAAGTTTTTGCTGAAGAAGAAGACCAAGACCTTTATCTGCCAACAATAAAAAGAAAGAAGACCAAGGCCATCAATGGTTCCAACCGTTTTTCAATTTCAAATGTTAAAATTAAATAAATAAATAAAGAGAAGAAATTAACATCTTCCACCGTTGGCCTAGAATTGGTTTGGGCTTTGTAGATCTGCAAAATTTTGCTGAAGATTCAGTTTAATTTTGCTGAATTTTTTATTAAGTGAAGATGTATTATTATTAATTTGGTGTTTACTTATTAATTTAGAATCAAGATGAATATGGAATATTGTTTAAAAATATATTATTTTGATCATTATTAATAAAGGTAAAAGGGACATTTCAACGGCCAAAAGCTAAATTCAATGGGCAGATAAGAACACAGGGTGGAACATTAATGGGTTTTCAAACTAAGGGTATCACTTTGTCATTTCATTAAGCCTGGGGTGGGTACAAAAACTTGACACCATCAATTACGACGGCTTGACCTCCTTAAAATATGTTCTCACAGAACAAGTTACAATCACACAGTTTTTTTTTTTTTTCCTTTTCATAAATAGACTTTGAATAAGTGTTAACTCAGAAATTTTCCTTTTGGTTACGTACTTCCGTTATTATTATTATTATTATTTGGTGTTTAGTATTATTTCCCCAGAGCAATAGGCAAGTCTTACGCATTCAACGATTTCAAAAAGTATTTGATATATTTCTTAATTTATCAAAAACCCCTTAAAAAGTTATATTAAAGCACTCTAAAATAATAAATAACTCTCTAAAAACATCAATAATCCCTTTGAACATGGATGTTTTTAATAGTTATCTAAAATCACTGTAACATTTAGATTTTTTTTTTTTTTTTTTGGGGGTGGGGGGGTGGGGTGTGGAGTTGTGGAGTTAAGCTTCTATAAACCAACTGCTACTGGACATGCCTAGAAACATGAAGCGAACAAACTACTCTCTAAAAGGAGTGCAACAACAAAAGTCCTGTAACTGGACATACCTGGAGTCTGGTGCTATAGATTTGATTATCCCTTAGGGACGTATAAAATAAACCTTTATTTTTTATTTTATTTTATTTTATTTTATTTTTTTTTTTTTTTTAATGCTTCCTTTTTCTTCCCTCAGTATATGACATTATTTACTTTTTTATTTGTGCTGACTTGGCCCTGCTTCAGATAGGATCAGCTTCAGTGAATGGGCCACACATCTTTATATGTGATGTTTTGTTCAATGATGTTCCTGCAATAATATTATTTAATTAATAAATAAATATTACGACCAACTGTTACCATAAACAGAGGCCAGAATGGAAAGAAGTTTGAAGTTAACCGAGTGAATTAACAGATTTAGTTCCTCAAATGAGAATACTTTTGCATTTGCTTTGATCATATTAAAAAACTGAGTTCAGAACATAGGATATATGGTGTTAAATTTATTCAACTTCTCCAATATTTGGGCCAAAAACATATGGCACACATACCAATACAGACCAGGGGCTTGAGATATTTACCAAGAGATTAAAATACTGCAAAACAGTCAACATTGCAGTGTGTCAAGTTCTAGCAAACTACGAATCCAACATAACAAAAACAGAACATAGCCGAGTTCAAACGTCATAAGCCTACATGAAAGCACCAACTGGCCTCCATGGCCTCTGCTACTTTTGCCTTCAATGCCTCCGGTGACTCATCTCCAGCAAGAAGCATGTGCACTTTGTTTTTGACCTCAATCCAACTACAGTCGGGGCTCTTCCTCAAACCCATAGCTTTCATCATATCTGTCACTGCATCAACCTCAGTCCACATGCCTTTGGAAGCATATATAATGGACAGAAGGATGTAGTTCCCAGAATTTGTAGGTTCCAGTTCAAAGAGATATTTAGCAGCAGCCTCACCTATACTCACACTGCCGTGAACTCTAAAAGAACTAAGCAAAACTCCCCAAAAACCAGCGTTTGGCTCGAAAGGCATCAGCTCAATCATGTTATATGCCTCTTCTAGCCTTCCAACACGGCCTAGAAGGGTCACGATACAAGCATATTGCTCCATCCTTGCTTTAATACGATGCTCCTTACACTCCTATCAAAAAATTTGCAGCCTTATCAGTTAGACGCCAGTAAATTATTTGATAATTTTCAGGCATATGAGCTGTGGATTAACGGTGAAGCCATGGAATTTATGGATGAATCACTAGATAATACATCTTCGTCATGTAAATTAATTAGGCAACACCAAAGTTTTCGCCCCAGGACTAGCAACTTCTGGATCAAATACTTCTGTCTTAACGACAGTAACTTCTGCTGAGAAAAGGCAGTAAGTTCTAACAATCATTGAGTTTTTTTGGCGCACCAACGACTACAAATTTTTTAGACTATATATATTATCAGTCTTGAGACGGATGTGATCTTAATCCACTGCTTATCTTTTACTTAATAGTCAATAATAATGTTTATTTGAGAAGAAGTGTATAACTACTTTGATATTCCTTATCATGAAAATCCTATCCAGATTCATTTCTTCAAAGAAAATGCCTTAAACTATGGCCGCCTGCCTTACCATTACAATAATAATTTAGTCGTTCACAAGTTCATTGATGTTGTAGTTGAATTTGTATAGTTTGTTTTTTCACAGAATTCAATATAAATAACACCGTAATTAATCACTAAAAGGTATTCTTGTCTCCAGCCTCTGTAATGGCTGGTTCTGTTGCTGGCGCCTGCCTTACCATTACTAATTAATAATTTAGTTGTTTACCGTTCTATTGCTTCGACAGGGGAGCTTCGTGAATCTGATCCGGTCGAAAATCAACAGCTGCAGTCAATATAAGCTGTGCCTGGCAGATTTTCCTGCCTCTAACTCATAGCAGCTGCCACTTTAAGAGAAGCTCCAAGTTAGACACATCAGAGGTGATGTTTGCGGAAAACCAAGAAAGGTCCAGGCCCGGAATCCATGAAGCCAGGCTGATTTTATTGAAGAATCAATGAAAGGTTTCCTAAAAGATGCATTATTATCACCATCATGGAAAATGTTGATGAGGTGCGCTGCCCCCCAATGGACAGAAGTGTAGTGCTGATGGGTTCATTTATTTCACATTGTCTCAGAACTTGGTGGCAGAATATGATATAGAGAGTTTGTAGGAGTGGAATTAACATCAGAAAAAGCACAAAGAAGGTGAATAAAGAGAGCAGAATTTATGGGAAACTGGTGTCTGAGTACCAGTAACCGGCTTTAACCCCAAGTTTGTGATTTTGCCAAGTGCAATTTTGAAGAGAAAACCATAAAGATAATTCTTTTTGCCATTGATAATGAAAATTGTTTGAACCTGGAAGCATTTCTGTGTGACTTTATATGTAGATATGTATATATTACCCAATAACTTGGCGATATAGAATAAATTCAACTCCTAAGAATCTCAACGATATAAAACTGATCGATTCAAGGCAAAATAACTATGATATATTAACTAATTTGGCCTGCATGATTAAAAGTGTAAAGACATCATTTAATTAATTTATATGAAAATTTTGTCTGGTTTATTAAAGTTATACCAGAAGTTGATGGTGTTGTTATTGGAGGACAAGAGAATTTCGTACACATGCTGAACCAATTGCTGATGGAGACGAAGAAGATCATGGTGGTGATAAGAGGGATATTTATATTAATGATTATTATTTGGACTATAATTATGTTGATGTTAGAGTGAAGCACCCAAAACGCTGCCGTTGTACCTTTAGTGAGACGCTGCCGTTTACTCTTGTCATCTCAAAGAAATCAGACCATTGAAGGACATAACATCTGACGGCCAGGATCCATTCTACTCAAAACAGAATGAAAAAACGCATTACTCTTGCTGGCTGCGTGTTAGTAAAAGGGTAAAAATGCATTTGGAATCTGTTAGTTGTTAAATAATGTTAGTTACTATTCTGTTTAACTTTCAGTTAAAATGTAACAGTATTAGTAGAGCATCGTTGCATTCATGTAAACACTATAAAAAGTGTACAGTAGCTCATTTTGTATTAACTGAAACAGTACAGTAAAAGAAGTATATTCAGCTCTCTTTTCTCTTTCTCTCGTTTTCTTCTCTGTTTTAGGTTTTTGTTCAACTTACCCAAAACATCACAGGTATCAGAGCCATTGACTAGCGTAAAAAATGGTTGATCTAACACACTTCTCTTCCAATTCAGTTAATTCAGCTCACAAAGTACCCACTGGTTCAGTCGATTGCATGAATTCATCGTCAATGGTCTATTCAGCTCTTCCTATAATTTCTCCTAAACTGACTAGGGATAACTACAGATTTTGGAAGTCACAGATTCTATTCGCAGTTGATCTCACGATTTAGAAGAACATCTTACTGGATTAATATCATGCCCAGCTCCATTTGTCAAGATTCAAGCTGAAAACTCGGAAGGGACTGTGAGAAAAAGAACCAATCCAGAGTACAATCAGTGGAAGAAAACCGACAATTACTTGTAAGCTGGCTTCTTAGCTCAATTTCTGAATCCATGTTCAAT